ACGCGATCGCGGAGATGGTGGCCGAGAGGGCGGGCGCGGCGCGCAGCCGCGCGGGGGTCCCAGAGGACTCGATCCTCATCCTTGGTCATCGCCTCCCTCTTGGCATCGCCTCCCCCTCCTCCCCCCATCCCGCCTCGATCGCCCCTCGATCCCTCCGTCCTCCTCATCCTCAATCCCTCCGCCCTTCTCTTTCGGATCCGTCGCCCTCGAATCATCTCCCATCTTCCTCGTCCGCCCTTCGATCCCTCCGCCTCGATCTTCCTCGTCCTCGATCCCTCGATGATCCCTCCTCGATCCCTCCTCCTCGTCCTCCCGCTCCTCGACCCCCCCCCCCTCGGCGGTGGGATTCAGGGCAGCGGGTGCGTCGGCCCCCCCCCCCCCCCCCCCACCCACCCACCCACACACACGCGCCGCCACCACCACCACCACGCCCCCCCACCCCACCCCACCCCGCCCACCTCCGCCAGGCATCTATGGAGCCGCCCCAGCACAAAGAGACTGCCGCGCTCGAGGGCGCCGAGCTGTCCCGCTGCGCGGCCGAGGCCGGCAGGGCACCACAGGGTATCTATATATGCATAGATATGCACATGTATGTATGTATGCATAAACACATATACTGATATATGCGCACATGTTTGTATATGCATATGCGTAATATATTACGTAGATCTCCTACCCTCTTCACCGATTTGTTGGCCGTAGAGTCGGACCGAAGTATCAGATCGAGGTCTTTTCGGGGGCGGTACCCGCGTCGCTCTCGTTTGTTTCATGTGCTTGTGCCTCCTGGGGAGGGCACCCATGGATGTTATGTTTGTTTTGGCCGACGGAGGGCCTCGTGTTCTCGAGGTGTTCTTCTGGTCTAGGTTCGACTGTATATAGCGAACCGCCGGGCGATGACGACCCAGGATGGCGACCCGCACACGCCCTCCCTTCCAGGCCCTCGGCTTCCTTTATTGTCTCGTTGGGTCTGGCAATGAGGACGAGGGGGATGAGGGCGCGGAGAACGATGAGGAGGAGAGTCAGGTTCGAAGGCGAGGACGACTGAGAAGGATTCGATCCGATTCAGATTCGGTTCGACGACCCTGACCCCCCTGCCATATCACGATCCCTCTATCGTCCTCAATATTATTCTGATCGCGCCTCGTCGTCGACGCGACCCACTCCTTTTCTCGCCGTCATCGTTCGCCCCTCGGGGTGGGGCTCGACGTTTCCCATCCTCGTCCTTCATCATTCATGCTTCATCTCTCAGGTCATGGTCGGGAGTCTGGAGCTTTTCTTTGTTGACAGCCTCTGGGGGCCGTTTCCCATGACCCTCCGAAGCGACTCGCGACGGAAACGGGGGATCTGAGGGATGAATGCCGCGACCTGGAGGCTATGCCGAGATCCCCCACTTCTGCCACTGCACTCCGACGTCGGGCAACGCCCGCCCACTTCCTGAGCTGCTGGTGGTGCTCGGGAGGGGTTGCATGGGGTAGGGCGGAGGAGCAGCGAGGAGACCTCTGTCTTGTGCTATGTGGCTGTGCATTCGATTTTTAAGGGTGGCACGTGTCATCCGTGTAGTGTTGGTTCCCAATATGTTTCTTCTCTGTCTCAAACCAGCTCCTCCTCCACCCGTCTTTCCATTTTTCCGTCCACTCCCCCCCCCCCCCCCCCCCCCCTCCGCTCAACAAAAAAATGAAGAAAAAAAAAAAAACCTCATCCTCTCACTCCCTATTAGCCTCCTGATGCCCCTCCTCACCGCGCCCCTCTGCTACTTACCCCATTCGCGCCACCCTCAGCAATTCCCTCGACGCTCATGATGCGCCCCAAGGGCGGTCCAATAGCCCATGAGCGCCCCAATGATGCACCACGGGTGCCCCAAGAAGGCCCCAACAAGGCCCCGCGAAGCATTTTTTAGCTACGGGGCCAAGGCCCAAGAGTCGGTCACAAGAGGCCACTCAGGCACCCAAAGAGCCCGACGAGGGCCCACAGAGGAGACACACCAACCAGCCCTTCCCTGAAACGGTGCTGGAATGCGGCGGGGATGTCGAGGTGTCGGGCATCACTCATAGCCATTCCGTGTTCTGGGTGGCAAGTGCCGCCCGTGTGTGCTTCTCGCCCCCCATGTTGGGATCAGAGTGGGGATGGCGACGATGGAGGTCGACGTTAACGACTGTTGACGGGAATGCCTGGCGAGAGTGAGACAAGGGGCTGGATGGGGAAGGCAGCGATCGATGGCGGCACCCCCAGGTGTTCGACCACGTCTACAATGCAATGAACGCAGTGACGAACGGCGTGCGGGTCTCTCAGAAGAATTTGGAGGCCCGCCACATGCGGCGAAAGAGGAGGATGGGGAGGGGGAGGACGAGCAGGCAGGATCTGAATGCGTTAGGGTGACAGGCGCCACCAAACGCACCCAGAGAGAGAGAGAGAGAGAGAGAGAGAGAGAGAGAGAGAGAGAGAGAGAGAGAGAGAGAGAGAGAGAGAGAGAGAGGAGAGAGAGAGAGAGAGAGAGAGAGAGAGAGATTCAACGAGAGATAGAGAGGCAGAGAACGAGAGAGAGGGAGAGATAGGGGAAATATATATATAGAGAGAGATAGAGAGAGAGAGAGAGAGAGAGAGAGAGAGAGAAGAGAGAAAGAGAGAGAGAAAGAGAGAGAGAGAGAGAGGAGAGATGAGAGAGAGAGAAGAGAGAGAGAGAGAGAGAGAGAGAAGACGAGAGAGAGAGAGAGAGAGAGAGAGAGAGAGAGAGAGAGAGAGAGAGAGAGAGAGGGAGAGAGAGAGAGAGAGAGAGAGAGATAGAGAGGGGAGATGACCATGATGGAGGACGAAAATGATGAGCTATCCAACTAAGGTTGTGGGACTACCAATTCGTCGACTGGTTCCCCCTAGATTGCATCCCGCCGTATATTTCCGCTCCCTGGGTGCCCAGGCCCAACTCCAGCCGACCCCTGCACGCTACAGTTCTAGGCAAGGTTGCCCCGAGGATTTTGAGGTGCCGCGTAGCGCTGCGCGCCACCCCCCCTCCCCCCCCCCTCCCATTGCTGCAGCAGGCGGCGTGGTCGCGCAACTACAGGCAGAGGCTGGAGCTGCAGCGCAAGAAGCGTCACGGACGCAAGCCCCCTCCAGCTGTAGTGGAGGGCCACAGGCCAGCGCGCCGCCATGCTGCCATGCTGGGCCCTCGGACCCCGAGACTCGATAGGTTCGCGCGTTCGCCCTGGGCAGGTTTCCGACGCCCCCAGGGCGCAGGACACAATTACAGATAAGCTCAGTTTTTGTTCGAGTCTCGGGGGTCTGAGGGGAACGAGGATGAATGCGAGGAATAGGTCAGCAACGATGATGTGGAGGAGCGACTAGGGAGGGAACCCGGAGCCCAAGCTTAGGGTGAGGATGATGAGGATGAGGAGGGGTAGGAGGATGAGGAGGAGTAGAAGAATGAGGCAGATCATGAGGAGGATGGATAGGAGGAGGAGGGGAAGGGACAAGGAGGATGAGTAGGGGGATGAGGAGGACCGAGTCTGATGAGGAGGACCCTTCCTGCTGTCGGTTTCTCCTCCCATCTCTCCCCCCCCCCTCGTCCACGCGCGCGGTCGGTTCGTTCTGGCACCGTGCAATCCTCATATGCGTGGTCATGCGCATCGCCCCTGTTTGCGCTGCGATCAAGGCACTCGAATAAGGACCGCGTTGGGCCCAGAAGGGGCTCGAGTTGTCGGGTCGTTCCTGGGATGTATGTTGTGTAGCCTGCCTTCCCGATTATAACGCGATGACTGTAGTGGCAGTTCTACCTGCCATCCCATCTCATCCAATAGCTCTCCCGAGCCAGGTTTCTGGAAGTCAGGGCCCTCCGCGTCGGCTTCGTCCACTGGCAACGGACGCGGGCTCGCGACCTTGGGACGGGCGAGGTCTTCAGGGCGGTTGGGGGGCGCCGACAGCGAGGGCCGTTGGTGGGGGAGCGGGGGCGTTGCATGGATCGATTGACAGGTTGATTGATTGATGTGAGCAGCAGGCGTGGATTGATTGCTCCACCAATTAATTGCGAAGTTGCTTGGCGGATCCATGTGTGAGTATGCGTGTGTATATATATGTATAAGTATTAATGAGTTGATGGTGAGGTATATGTCGATGGAATAAGGAGGAGGGAGGAGGGGGAGGGGGCGGAGGAAGAGGCGGAGGAGGATGAGGGGGATGCGGAAGCAGCGCGCGCGCATGCACGCACGCATCGGAAGATTGAGACTTGGGGGCTGCAGGCTGACAGCGCCCCCGTCGAGGACGTGGACGACGCGATCTTGAAGCGGCACCTCGAGGCGGCCTTCGAGATCTGCAAGGACGAGGGCAGGGGAGGGGGCAAGTGCCGCTGGGGAGGGCAATATGAGTGGCAGGAGATAGGAGGAGGAGGAGGAGGAGGAGGAGGAGGACGAGGAGGAGGAGGAAGAGGAGGAAAGTTCCAACGATGAGAACTGGGAGGGCGAGGAGTAGGAGGAGGAGGACGCCGTGTTAGAACATGGCGCAGCGGTAGCAATAGAGGTGTCGTGACAAATTCGCGACCGACGCCCGTCGCGGGCTCCTGCCATGTCCCCAAACCTCCGTACACACTCGCAAACTGACCGAACCCCAATCTAGTGTCTTCGCCTTCCTACTTCATATGTGCAACTACTTCTACGACCGTGGGTAGCCTCCTCCTCCTCCTGGTGATCCTCATCCTCTGGCCCCCGTCGCCATCAGGAACTAGCTGATAGTGAGTTGTGTTGTTTATCGCTCGCTCTCTCTCTCTCTCTCTCTCTCTCTCTCTCTCTCTCTCTCTCTCTCTCTCTCTCTCTCTCTCTCTCTCTCTCTCTCTTTCTCTTTCTCTTTCTCTTTCGTTTTCCTCAAGCCCTCTCTTCTCGATCTCTCTTTCTTGGCGGGTCTCCTCGATCAGCCTGACCCCCCTCCTACTGATCTCTCTTCTCGGTTCGTCTGGTCATCCTCCGGGCTTGGGGCGAGACCGCGCCGACCTATCTGGCGCGGCTGGCCCCGCCCAGGAGGTGATCCCGATCGACGGCGACGACGGCGCCTGGCCTGATCAGCAGACCATCGCCGACGATCAGCACACCAAGGACGAGGGGCACCCTGGGGACGAGGACGGGCAGCCCATCGATGACGGCGAGGGCGGCGAGGAGCATTGCAAGGACGAGGACGGGCAGCCCATCGATGACGGCGAGGGCGGCGAGGAGCATTGCAAGGACGAGGAGCACCCCCAGGACGAGGACGGGCAGCCCATCGATGACGGCGGGGACGAGGAGCACCCCCAGGACGAGGACGGGCAGCCCATCGATGACGGAGAGGGCGGCGAGGACGAGGAGCACTTCCAGGACGAGGAGCACCCCAAGGACGAGAAGCACCCCAAGGACGAGGGGCACCCCAAGGACGAGCAGGACGGGCAGCCCATCGCACCCGCCGAGGCGAGCGGATCGATCAGACGGGAGGCCGATCAAGAGGGGGATGGTGGAATTCGGATGGCCTTCTGGGGCGAGCTCACGGGCGTCGACAGAAGCCGATCGGCGTCGCAAGAAGAAGGTGAAGCTCGAGGCGGCCACCGATGACGTCAATGCCCTGATCGAAGGAGCCCCGCCAAGTCTGGCGACCCCATGCCCGCCAGCCCCGACGGGCGCGGCGGGCCCGCCAGCCAAGGCGAAGGGCAAGGCGCCCGCGGCGGCCAAGCCCGCGGCGGAGGCCGCGGGCAAGGCCAAGGCGCCCGCAGCCAAGGCCAAGGCGGCCAAGGCGCCCGCAGCGCCCGCAGCCAAGGGCAAGGCGCCCGCGGCGAAGGCGCCTGCAGCGAAGGCCCAGGCGCCTGCAGCGGGCGAGGAGCCAGCGCCCACGCCCGAGCTCGGGGAGCCCGCGGCGGCCGAGGAGCTCGAGGAGCCCGCGGGCGAGGGGCCCGCGGAGGAGGCTGGCGAGGACGAGGCTGGCGAGGGCGAGGCGCCTGCTGGCGATCTGGTGCTGGCCCCGCCACCAGACCGCAACTACGGGGACTGCGCGCGCTGGGGCTGCCAGGAGTGCTCGAACGCTGCGGGCCACGCCATTCAGCTGAAGTACCTCCGCCGCGGATCCGAAGGCTACTCGACCATCGCGTGCAGGGCGAAGTTCGTCGCGGACATGCCGTGGGCGGATCGGGCGCAGCTGACCCAGGTCAGCGGCGAGGACTGGGCAGACGAGCGCTTGAAGTTCTACGGCGCCCACGACGTCGAGGCGATGAGCAGGATCGCGATCGGCAGGGCCTTCTTTTACGCAGCGCAGAGGACGGCCAGCGACAATCAGATCTGCAAGCTCATCAGGCAGCACGTGGTCGCGGAGCTCAAGAACATGAAGTAGGTGCCTCAGTGGGGGCACGTGCGGGCGTGTTTCGGAGGTGAAAAGAAGGGGAATGGGAATGAGCCATTGGAGGATCAGCATATGTGCCAGCCTCCCTATCTCTCTCTCCCTCTCTCTCTCTCTCTATCTCTCCTTATCCCTCGAGCTCCGACGACGCCTCTCTCCCCCGAACTATGTATGCGTATATAAAGATATAGAAACATAGGGGTAGATAATGCTGTCGGATGCCGCCCTTGCGAACGCTACTGGCCGACATCAACCGCCAGAAGGTGTGCGCGCACTGGCGTGCGTACTGACGTGCGCGACGTTGCCGACGCCATCGAGCCGATGGCGATTTTCTATCCTGAGGCCACCCTCGGGGAGGGATTGCGGGCGCGCATGCAGCATGCACGCATGCGCGCACGCGCGCATGCACATATACACACACGCACACATACAAACCTGCACATAAACACAGCGTACACACGTACGCACCTACTGTACATATGCAGGTGTGCCTGAATATGGTAGCACATGTGTGTCTACATATATACCGTATACACATACAGACATGCACGCTATCAAATAACACGCACGTGCGACTACACTCACGCACGCAAACCCAACCACTTATGCATATGTTTACGTGTATGTGTAACTGATCGCCAGTGTGCCATGTTAGTAACGCTGCTCACATTGCATCTAAATGTGTTTGTTTGCACGTCCATTGGTCTCAAGCTCGGATTTGCCCGCGAACTAACCGCCTTCGCGAGCGCGGGGCAGGTGGGCGCTGCAGCGTGCACGGCGCTGAAGATCAATATTGCCATATCAGCCTGCCGGGGGGGTCTGCCTGCGCGCGCAGGGCAATGTAGATGAGGATGGTGAGGAGGTGGGCCGGGGGGGTGATGAGGGGGATGATGAGGAGGAGGAGGATGAGGAGAAGAAGGAGGAAGAGGAGGAGACGTCAGGGGGGGCCGTGGCTGACGACCGCGGCATGTGTATACTCACAGCGGGCGCTCATCTTTGGGGCGGCGCGAAGCGGAGACCGCAAAATCGCACGTTGTTGGAGATGATGTCATCCGTGCTGCACTGCTCGAGGGCGGCGGTCGGTGCGCGCAGTTCTCGAGGGATGACGCCCCATGCCGCGTTGCTCATGGGCACGCCCAGGAACATGTGTGAGGGGGGGGGCCTGCGCGAGCTAGATATGTAAGTGCAAGTATTCGGAGGCGGAGGCGGTGAACTCCAGATCGATGGTGGATGTGGGGCGGAGGGGGCGAGGGCGGTGAACGTTGCAGATGGGCGGATCCTCGAGGCAGGCGGGTCCATGACAGTTGCACTGCCAGCGGCGCTCGTTGGCCCGAGCTCAGCGCGCTGGCGGCCCCCTCGAGTGCAAGTCCCCGCGGCAGCAGGCGAAAGGGCGCAGGTGTCGATCAAGGTTTCGAGGGCGCCCTTCGAAGCAGATCGAGCGCAGGGAACGTTTGTGCATGAATAAGGGGGGCTCGATCGGTCCAGGACGAACGCACCGATGCGTTTATAGTGCCTGGGGAACGGGGCCCATCGCATGGAGGGGGGGGCGGCCCCTCCAAGTGGGGCGATTCACCCCCTGCGCGAGTCGGTCGGACCCGCAGCCTGCTGAGGGGATCCGTTCCCCCCTCCTGTCGAGCGGGCCCGCGCCCCCCCCCCCCGTCCGAGAGAGAGAGAGAGAAGAGGAGAGAGTAGAGAGAGAGAGAGAGAGAGAGAGAGAAAGAGAGAGAGAGAGAGAGAGAGAGAGAGAGAGAGAGAGAGATGACGAGAGGGGTGAGAGAGAGCGGCACTTGACGCGCGAACGCACATCCACACACATGTGTTTATATAGTGCGTATGTATAGACATATGTATATAGAAAGTATGTCAATGTACATGTACACATATATACTTATATGCCATACAAGTGTAAGCATATCTGAGTGTAAGCACACGCATATGTGTATGTCTGCGCCCCTCATGCACATGTGCAGATACACTTATACTATATATATATATGCATATGTGTACATCTACAACAACGTATGCATATTTATATATGTGTACATATATACACATGTATGTGTATACGTGTGTATGCATACATGTATGCATGGGCGCGCTCGAAGTCGGCAGCGGCGAATGTACGCGGGCCCACGTGTTGCCCAATGTGGCCCTATAGAGGGTACCATGTTCTTCGCGTGCAATAATCCGCCCAACGGCCCCCCCACCCCCCCCCCCCCGCGCACGCGCGCGCACGCGCGCGCGCACGCACGCCACGCACACGCGCACCTCGCACATGGGGCCCCACCTTGAGGCACCAGGCCCCCCGCCACATTTGAACCCTAGGGGGGTCCAAGCGATTTTTTTCCAACGTATATACCCGCGCGCGTAGCACTTCTGCCCGCGAGCCGTGGCCCCATGTGGGCCCACCTCGATATCGGCGCACCCCTCGCGCGCTTCGTTGCCCCATGTTCGCGCGCATGTGCGCGCGCGCGCTGTGCCCGCGCGCGCGTGCTCAGCAGAGAGAGAGAGAGAGAGAGAGAGAGAGAGAGAGATCGCGCCGCCCAGGTGGAGCTGGGCAACGCGGAGGACGTCGGCGAGCTTGACCGATGTGTGGGGCGGGAACGCGTGCGCGAACCCCGCGTGGGCAAGCGTCGGGAAGCGCGCGGGCGGGGGCCGCGGGGCCGCGCTGGCGCGTCGCGGCGGCATCGGCGCGGCGGCCAGCGAGGGCAAGGGCCGCGTGCCAGCGCTGCCCCCGCTGGCCAGCCGCGGCCGATGCCGCCGAGACCACCGGCGCGGCTCTGCGCCCCCGTGCGCGGCCCCGACGCCGTTCGCGCGGGGCCGAGCGACCGCGCTCCTGGACCCCTCGCCGCCCACGAGGGGGCCCGCCAGCGCTCGCGTGCGCCCCCCCGAAACCCGCCAGCGCATGCAAAAACGTGGTGTCTGTTAGTGTGTTTTGATGTCGTTTTATGTATTATATATATATAAATAATAATAACATTTCTTTTAATGTATTGTAATGTCTTATAATGACTTTTAATGTCTTTTACTGTCTTCTAATGTCGTTTAATGTTTGTTAATGTCTTCTAATGTCTCTTAATATCTTTTGATGGCGTTTAATGTCTTTTAATGTCTTGTAATGTCTTGTAATGTCTTGTAATGTCTTTTATGACAATGTCTTTTAGTGTCTTTTAATGTCTTTTCGTGTCTTTTCATGTCTGTAAATGTCTTTTAATGTCTTGTAATGTCTTTTAATGTCTTTTAGTGTCTTCTAATGTCCTTTAATGTCTTCTGATGCCTTCTAATGTCTTTTAATGTCTTTGAATGTCTTTTAATGTCTTCTAATGTCTTATAATGTCTTATAATGTCTTCTAATGTCTTCTAGTGTCTCTTAATATCTTTCAATGTCTTGTAATGTCTTTTACTGTCTTTTAATGTCTTTTTAATGTCTTCTAATGTCCGTTAATGTCTTTTAATGTCTTTTATGGTAATGTCTGTTAATGTCTTTTAATGTCGTTTAATGTCTTTTAAAGTCTTCTAATGTCTTTTAATGTTGTTAATGTCTTTTGCTGTCTTTTACTGTCTTTCAATGTGTTTTAATGTCTTTTCATGTCTTCTAATGTCTGTTAATGTCTTTTCATGTCTTGTAATGTGTTTTCAGGTCGTTTAAGGTTTTTTTAATGTCTTTTAATGTCTTCTAGTGCTCCTTAATGTTTTTTCTTATATTAAAAAAATGTTTTTTATTTTTTGTGTTAATGTATTTTACTGTCTTTAAATGTCTTTTAATGTCTTTGAATGTCTTTTAATGTCTTTTAATGTCTTTCAATGTCTGTTAATGTCTTTTACTATCTTTTAATGTCGTTTTAATGTTTTTTCATGTATTTTAATGTCTTGTAATGTCTTTTAGTGTGTTTTACCTTCTTTTAAGGTGCTGTCTTTTAATGTCTTTTACTGTCTTTTAATGTCTTTGCATGTCTTTTAATGTTTATAATGTCTTTTATGTCTTTTAGGTAATGTATTTTCATGTTTTTTTTGTTTTCTCCGAATGTCTTTCAATGTGTTTGAATGTCCTCCAATGTCCTCCTACGCCCCCAAACCCAAAGTCCTGGGGGCCCCCGCGCAATCGATTTGCCGCGGGTCGACGGGGGCACACGTGCGCGGTCGGTCACCTCGCCCCAGGCGCGCAGGCGTTCGCGCGTGCCCGACCCCTGCCCCAGTTCCGACCCGCGCCGTGTCCCCCGCCCCATGCATTGTCCTACCCCTCGCGCCCGATGCGGCGGCGCGCGCGCACGTGCGCGACAGGATTGGATCGCGCCCCGCGCGCGCGCGCTCGGCAAGCAGGCGAAAGGGGCTGGCGCGCAGCCGACTTGAATATTGCCAATAAAATGCGCGACGCGCGCGCGGGTGCGATGCGGCCATGCGTGCGCGTCACACTCGGAAATATCAGATGTGCACGTATGTATGCACGTATGGATGTGTATGTTGTATGTATGTACGCATATGTGTCTCTGTACGTATGCATGTATATATAGAAATTATTGGGTGGATGTGTGTATACGTATTTGTATGTATGCAGACATATATATACATGTATATACACACGGACACAGTTCACAATTCGTACACGCACTCACGCGTGTCCTGGGCCGATGGATCCATGCAGACTTTGCAGCCGACCTGGAAATTGCATGCGCGCGGCCATTTCCGCAGTGCCAACGTTGCAGCCGACCGCAGAACATGACATGCAGGGTTGTGCACATTTCTCTACAGGTGGACCGCCCCCCATAATGCGCCCGTTCCGGTTAGGGGAGGCGACGCATGGCGCCGAAGAAGCAACCCCCCACGGCAGCTGAGAAGAAGGCTGCGTCCGGGAAGAGGAAGGCACCACGCAAGCTCAACAGCGATCACGAGAACGCTATGCAGCGCATGCGGACCCCTGCCCGCGCAACGATCCAGTCGGTCCGCGGCGGTCGGTGGCGTTCGTGGCTCCAGGTGTGTATATATATATGTG